GCTGAGCATTGCGAGCGATGCGTTGGTGAGGGGCGGCAGGGCTGGGCCCAGCGCAGGGTGCCCAAGGGGCATCATGCCGGCAGCGCTGGCGCCAGCCATTGGCATGAATCCTATGTTGCCCATCTGGGCGTGCTGCGGGTGCGGCTGCGCCGCGGCCATGGCCCACTGCTGGTGCTGCTGCTGCAGCAGGAGCAGCTGCTGCTGCTGCTGGTGATGGAGGTGCTGCTGCTGCTGGTGGTGATGCAGATGCTGCTGCTGGTGCTGCTGCTGCTGTGCTGCCGTTGCGGCCGCAGCAGCAGCAGCCGCTGCGGCGTCCCCCTCCGGAGCAGCCTCCTCCTCAGCAGACGTGAGGGGCGGCGCCAGGCTCGCGCAGCAACCCCCGCTCGCAGCGGCAGCGGCGGCGGCGGCAGCAGCAGCGGTGGGATTCAACGCGGCAGCGCTGGCACCAGGGAGATGGTCCACTTTGGTCCGCTTGAGAGCCTGAGACGCGCGGAGTGCAGCGACAAGCGGAGGTGGCTGCCTGGACCGCCTTTTTGTTACCAGCAGCTGCCCTGTCTTTTACCTTCTGCATAACCCACACAGCGACAAACGGCAGCCACCTCGTGTTGAAAGCCCCCTCCGCTGCCAGCACAAGCACACCCCTTGGCATTTCCTGCAGGCCAGCGCTGCTGACTTTCACCGCCACGCCCACCCCGGCCGTGTCCACTGCACAGCCGTGCGAGCGAATCAGGGCGCACCCACCTGGCAGGGGTTGAGCGTGGGCACGCCGTTCGGCGCCGCCACCAGCTCTGAGGGGTCCCAGCTCCACTCCTCCATGTCCCAGGTGCGGTCGTCGCCCTCGTGAAACAGCCGGTCGAGGTCAAGCGGGTTCAGCGGCGCCGCGTGCGCGCTGCCATGCGCTGCCGCGTGGGCGGCTGCGGCTGCGCTATGCGCGTGGCCTGGGGCAGGGGCCCCAGCCAGCGTATACTGTGCGCCGGGGACCGCGGCTGGGTGGGCCGCGGGGTCCATTTCGTGGACGGCCTGCGCCTGCAGTGGCGGTGTGTCGATGGTAGCGTGCAGCGGCGTGAGGGTCCGCAGGATGCGCTGCATCAGCCTCAAAGACAACGCAATCACGCTCGGACGGGTGGCGCCCGACATTCATAGCTTGCACCTGGCCCATGAAATACGAGTGTTGAGCTGCTGCGCTGCGCTTGGGATCTGGACGAAGGCCGAGAGAAGGCAGCAGCCACCCTTTGCCGCCGGCAAGCTCCAAGTCCAATGATTGTTGATGTGCTCACCCTGAGAGGTGCCGCGCAGGGTCGCAGGTGGCCTTGATGGGCCGAGAGGGCCCACTTCCTGCAATTGTACGGGAATACGGCCGCCCGCGCCGGCGGTGTCTGCGATGTACCTGCGGGTACTTGCGATTCCCCTGAACCAAAATGCGTATTGATGCAGCCATCAGCACGCGGATCTTCAGGTTTGGACACGGTGACCGCCTCTCCCTGCCTCGGGTGACCCAATCGCCAACCGCGACAGAGGCCGAGCCAGGCCAGAGGCTGCCGACCCCGGGACGTGATTGATTCTGTATGCCGATGGACTGCACTGCTGCGGGCCAACGCAGACCGCCATCGCCATCAACCGTTGACCTGCACCCGCCCTCCTCGCATCTGCCAATGCTTCGGGAGTCTTTCACATCGCACGCGTTCTCTGATTGCAGCGGCCCCAGACAGACGAGGTGCATGGGCAACAGCACTTCGACGACTTCTACTGTCGTCCATGGGTTGTCAAAGGCCGCAGTCAAACATCCTGCCTCACGCGCCCGCGGCGACCAGGGCCGCGCGGTGAGTGCGACGGCCTGTACCAACCTCTGCAGCCCGGACGTGCCTGCAGTTGCAGCCGCACAACAGCTGGCAAGGCATCCCATTGAGTGCCTCGAGGCGACTTCCCTGATGACGAGAGGGGACGGCTTGATGCCGCACCCTCAAGGTCCAGGCCCCTCTGGGCGCGATTTTGAATCGCGATGCCGTCCAGCCCGCACTCCTGTTGCTGCCAAGTCAGCTCAGCTTCAGCTGCCCAGAGCGCTGCTGCTCAGGGAAGCGCAGCTGTCTGAGCGCCAGGGTGAGCGGGCAGGGGGAGAAGCTGGTGCCGAGTTAACACGTTCCTGTTATCCACAGGCAGGCGGCTGCTGGGTGGAACAGTAATCGTATAGATCAGCTGCTGCTTGTCAGACCAGCCGCGCGCGAATAAATCTGCAGGGTGGAGTGGGTCAGCGCACTACAGATCTCCCCCCCCCATCGGCATCCTAGTCTGCGCTGTTCATAGGTAGGATCTGTTAGTGGACGGCCAAGGACAAACTTGGTGGTTGATGTACAGTCTGCTTAATAATAATGAGCTGGCCGGGGGCGCCAGGATGTACGATTCTTGCCGCACACATGGTGTACCTCACTTGCAGAATAGGTAGTATGTGCATGCAAAAAGGCTACGCACAAAAGCATGCATGATGTCAAGCGCTCGGTTTGCTGCCGAGTTCTCCTGCACACAAAACCGATGAGGTGATAGAAACCACAGAGGAGCTTGTAATCACACTGCAAGCTCCGGCCCCTGATCATGTTGGAACCTACAGGCATATCAGCAATGTTGCTCACGCACAAAATCTACAAATCAAGACAAGGCGCAACCCTCACAGTCAGCGCGCTTCAGCGGCTGCCAGGAACGCCGCTCGCGCCGCCGATGACACCGCTCCCACCGCTGCCACCGCTGCTGCCCTGCAGTGCGTCCAGCACCACGCGCGCCAGGTCGGCCTTCTCCACCACCCCCGCAGCGCTGACGCCAAGTGACGTCAGCAGCGCCCGCAGGTCGCGCGCTGGCAGCATCATCAGCCCCTCCAGGGTGCGTGGTGGCTCATCAACCCCGGAGGATGTTGAATCTGGTAAAGGTGGCTGCAAAGAAGGCGCCGGCTGCCCCTCCTGCTGCTGCAGCGGCTGCTGCTGCTGCTGCTGCTCTCTCTGCTGACGCGCCGCCTTGCACTCGGCCCGGTGGTGCGGCCAATGAGACTGTCGGGATGGGCAAGGGTGTGGGGTGGGAGCCATGTATTGAAAGCATCAGGGAAACACACTGGCAAGCGCGCGCGCGCGTGCGTGTGGACCTGGGTGTGCCGGCCCTTGCGGGCAACCGAAACCAGCCTGCTGAGCGCGGAACCAGGACAGGCCAGTGAGGGGGTCGTTGGTTGCTTGCGTGCGGCGCCGCCCCCCACCTTTTGACATTCCGCCTGGTGGAGGGCACAACGGGCGGTAGAGAGGGAGGGAGAGAGGGGGGGGGGCAGGAATTGGGGGATGGTCAAGCTGGGCGTGTGGAATATGGCTGGTTGATTGGTGGCCTCGACGACATCTTGCGTTCAAACCGCATGCACGCGTGCAGGCACCGCATGCACGCGTGCGATACAGACGGCACATGCATACAGCACGCCCGCGCGCCCACGCGCCTGCGCCCGTGCCAGCGCGACTCACGTTGCAGTAGTATATTGCCAGAAGTGGGCTGCACCCATTGCACGACCGCAGCTTCACGCCCGGCGTCCCGCGCTGCTTCCCACATGCTGCACACGCCCTGAGACTTTCCGCTGCCCCGGACGACGGTGCGGCCTCCACTGCCGCTGGCTGTCCCTGCCGCTCGCCGCGCTGCTGCTGCTGCGCTGCCTGGTGCTGCGCCTGCTCCTGCTGCTGCTGCTGCTGCTGCTGCTGCTGCTGCTGCTGCTGCTGCTGGTCGGGGGCCGTCCCTAAGTGCTCCCGCACCACCTGCAGTGCCGCCTGGTGGGAAAGGCCCACCTGAGCCATAACCTCAGCAGGTAGGCAGTCTGGCGGGCGGGCCGTCAGGGACGAAATGAGGTCCAGGAGCTCCCCCACCTGCTCCACACAGGGCCCAGGCATCGGGTACCCTGCCTCGCCCAGCTCTTTGACTAGGTCAACCAGGCGTATGGCCAGCCTCATGCTGTCGCACCACGCCGAGCTCAGGTCCTCAGCCGACGCCGCGCTCAGCGCCTCCCCGGCCGGGTCTGCGCCGGCGGCGCGAGCAGGAGGGGCGGGCGGGGAGGTGTGGGGCGGGCCAGACCGGCAGTTTACGAAACCTACCACAGATTTGTATCCAGGGCGGCCCCCTGCGGGTCCAGCCTGCAAAAACACCAACGCCTTTTGCAGCGCTACACACCACAGCGGGACTGTATGGTTGCAGGGCTCAGTCGCCAAATGCAGGGGGCGAGGTAAGGGGCGAACCTGCGACGCGCCGCAGCGCTTCTGCGATCCCTGGCTGCCCCAGCAGCACCAGCGCCGCGCCGCGGGACACCTCTGGGGCGACGAGGTACAAGAGCGCCCCGACGCAGGGCACGCACAGGCGCAGCCGGCCACGGCCGCGCCGCGAGAGCTTCAGCAGCAGCGCGGTCAGCGACCTGCTGGCGCCCGGCGCGGCGGTGAGGATCGCGGTCGCGGCGGCCGCATCGTCGCCGGGGTCGCTGGGGTCGAACAGGCTGCGGATAACTTGCGCGGCGTGCGGCCCCGCCGGGTGGCCGCGGGTGCCCTCCTGCACCAGGGCTGCGAGCGCGGTGAGCAAGGTGGGCCGCGCCAACGCCTGCTGCCGGCGCGCGGGGCTGTCCTCGATTGTGCACGTGAGCACCTGGCACAAGCGCCCGCGAGTTTCTGGTGGGCAATTGTGCAGAATCGGGTTGAGCGCCATCCAGGTCGCATCGCTGAGGGGCCCAGAGTGGTGCGTGCATGCGTCGCGCAGCTGCTGCAGCGGGCCCAACGGATCCGCCCACGCGCTTTCGGAGCTGTGCAGCGCGGCGTCCTTGGCCGCATTCACGGCTTGGTCCGCCGGTCCAACCATGACTTGCACAGCCGCCGAGTGGGGGGGCAGCCAGGCTGTCGGTTCGCGCTGCTGGTGATCGGACCGCGCTGCAGCGCCCGCGGGGCGTTGCGGCTGAGTCGTGATGCAAACTGTGCACAAGCTGGTCGAAAAGACGACTCCACGACGACACTGGAACACCCCCGATTCGGCAACTTGTAAGCAACAAAGGTGAGGGCAGGGTCCCGGATGTGACCGTTCCGAGCCGCACTGGGACAAAATAGTAAAATGACGGAGAGCTGCACCAACCTGCACGTGACAGGCTAGACGGTGTGATTATTCCATATTATCAAGGAAAGAGAGTCGTCCTGCGCGCAGGGGCACCGGGTTGCACAGCGCGACCGTCTGGTTGCTCCAGGGGGCACTCCCAGCTCCCCCAATCCCTCGCAGAGGGCCCAGACGAGGTCATATTCACAAGCGAAGCTAGTCAAATGAATGCATCGTTGAGAGCGTAGTAGCAATGGGACCCGTGGGTTTCCAGGACGGCGAGAAGGGCGTGCGCGTTGACCTCGATCGCCTGCGCGGTTTTCAGGTTGATACGCCATATCTGGCTGGTGCGCCCCACCCACGACCATGCCCCACCACCCCGCCGTATCTGAGGCGCACGCTCGCCTGCATCTCCTCCTCACCTCGCAAACGGGGGGGGGGGAGGGGGCGGCGGCTGAGAAACGAGCGGCGCCCCCAGGGGCAGGGGCTGGAGCGGCAAAGTCCACGTTGGGCGGCTGATTTGTGCTCAACCACAGTTGTTATTTCAATCCGTTTGATCACTGTGGCGGGAGGGGTCTAGCTGGCCTAGACGATTGTAACAAAGCAAAGCAAATCAGTGCTGCCTGACTGGATCCAATGCAGGAATGAGGTTTATGAATGCCAGCTTGCAGCAAACCTACATAGCCTTTCTTAAAAGCCTCTTCTTCAGGGCTTTTGACCCTCCCAATCGCCAACACCACTTCTCTTGCTTAGAGCGTGTATGACCGAATGTGCGGGGTCCTCTGTTATTGCCCTCTGCTGCTGCTGCTGCTGCTGCTGCTGCTGCTGCTGCTGCTGCTGCTGCTGCTGCTGCTCCTCAGACTGCTGTTTCTTCTGCTGCTGTTCCTCATGCCGACGGGACAGGCAGGCAGCCGGCGGATGACCCATGGGGCCCTGCACGTCTGGCCGTCTGCCGTCAACCCTGGCCGCTCGATTGCACGCACCCCAGCACAGACAGTAGCGAAGTGAGGCCCCACCGAGCGCCGTCGTCGTCCATGGCAACGGTTACAAGGGGCCTCGCGATTGCGACTGCCGCGCAAGCCCGGATGCAGGGACCAAAGGCTGCCGCGCCGGGATCAAAAACAAGCAGGCCCCGGGGGTTGTGACGTCATGGTGGCCCTGGCCCTGCACCAGGGGCCGCAGAAACAATCGCCCCCCCGGGGTGTCATCTTGAGCTGACCACCGCGTCCTGCGATCAAGGAGCCGGGGTGGGGGCGGGGGTTGAGGGGTGAGGCACGGGTAGGGGTAGGGGTAGGGGTAGCAGGAATGGAATTGGGCACGCGTCTTTCCGCCATGCTTGTCTTTGGGGCCTGACCACCCATCAGCCGACGCTCACGGAAACTCGCACGCACTTGCATGTGGGCCTGCTGGCAAACCTTGCGGCACGCAGCGTGCACAACCACATGACCGCACAAACACATAGATTCCATCAATTTTCCACGCGCCACCCTTCGCCTCAGGCTTCTGTTGGCTGTCCCCAGCCTTTGCTCGCAGCTCACCGCGAACCCGGCCAGCAGCGACATCCTTGAGAACTTGGCCACCCCCGCGCACGCGCGCCGGCACGCGTCCATCGCCAACACCAGCTGCTCCGGGCTGAAGCGCCCCGTGGAGTGGCACGTCAGCACGCCCTCGTCCACGACCAGCAGCTGCTGCTGCTGCTGCTGCTGCTGCTGCTGCTGCTGCTGCTGAGGGGTTCCTGCCGCTGCCGCCTCCGCGCCCTCCTCGCCGCCGCCGCCGCCCTGAGCGGGTTCGTGCCTGTATGGGTACGCCAGGCAGAACACGGCGCGCGCCGCCGCCTCCTCTTCGGCGTCTGGGTCGAGGAGCAGGTCGCCTTGGGCGCCAATGGCTGCGGTGACCGAAGCTGCGCGGCAGGCGCGAGCGAAACACGGTCAGGGCGGGCGAGGAGCAGGACGGTGGGCATACGAACGCCATGCGGCATCCGGAGGAAGCAGGAAACCGTGGGCACGTTGGCAGGTGCTCTTGCGCTGTCGAGGCACAGCGCTAGCGGCAAGACAGAGCTCCACCGGGGGCACACGCCACTGCTCTGGGTGGCAACTCGCCGCGCTGTCATGCTGTGAGTATCCCAAATCACGACGGCGCCGCTCACAAGCTGTGCATGCAGCAGCAGGGTGGACCCGCCACCCGTGCAGCCGCAGAGAACGCTGCTGTCCCCTGCAACCGCCCCCTCCCTATCAAGGCAGCTTCCGCCGCGGCAGCTCACCAAACAGCGATGTCAGCGGGATCCCCGCGTCGGCGAGCGCGGCGCACGCCGCGTTTGCCGCGCAGGATAGCAGCGCACCGTCTGCCGACAGCACCTGGACCACCACCGTTACTAACGTCCGTGGATGCAGGCTGGCCAGCAGGACGCCTTCCACGGCCTGCCGCAGGATCTCCTCCCACTCGTGCTCCTGGCTGCCGGGCAGCCCGCTGCGCGGCTTGAACACGACCTCGACCGCCGCGCGCTCGGGGTTCTCCTTGCGGGGCCCCGCGGCGGCGGGGCCGTGGACGGCCGCGAGGACCGCGCTGCCGTCCTGCACCCATTTGGCGGAGCCGTCGGCGCGCTGCAGCAGGCCGCGCTCGCAGAGCAGCGGCCTGGTGGCGGGCGCGGCGGCGTGGCGGAGTCAAGAGAGTGGCCGGGGCCGAGGTGGTCACAGCCGATGCTGCAGTGGCAGCAGCCCAGCGCCAGCAGCGGCCGCGGCGGCCGGGCACGTCACTGCTATGGCGCGATTTGAGGGGCGCGTGACATAACGGCGCACCGTAGTTGTGTCGAAAGCCGTCCCTTTGTCCTCGTTGGCCCCTGCCCCGACGTGCTGGTCTCCATTTTACGAGTGAGTTGTGCAGTGTCCGAGTACCGTAATTTTGTTTAGCCCTGTTGAAAGCGACTGCATTATCTAGAATTCAAGCTACTTTATTTGATCGCCAAGGTGACTGAAGGCTTGAAAGAATCAAAAAGTGACAATTTCAGACTGATTAGATCTAGATAGATCAGCTTGTGTAGGCAACTCTGTCGGGCCCATTGAGCTTGCATTACACTAGATATCTCCTGTCATCTCGATGCCAGCGAGTGGTGGCGGGGCGGCGGTTGTGCGCCCGCTCTTCAGAGGCCTGCAGCAGCAGGTGCAGCGCTTTGCTGCGGATGGCCTGCCACTCACAGGCGTGGTGGGGGTGCCCAGCCTCCGCCTACTACTGGATCCAGGCACAGCGCTCCATACTGCGTTCGATGATGCCAATGATGTATCAATTCGAAAAGGACGCGCGACCCTTGACGGTGGGTTCGCGCCACAGGTTGGCACCCGCAGCCGCCCCAGCCCTCATGTGCAGCTGAGGCGCCACCACTGAGCTGGGCCAACACACAAACCATGCGTACTACATTCATTGCACCGCATCCTATTGTGCCACCCGTGCAGACGCTTTCCACGCGCTGCGCATGCTGCCGCGTCAGCACGATGTGCTGACCGGGTCAGAGGAGGAAACGCGGCAGGTCGGGGCAACATCTGCGCGCAAGCGTGCGTGCTTGCGTGCGTGCAAGCGCGTGTGCGTGGATGCATGTGCACATTCAACTAGATATGTTGTAGCATGCTGGATTGTCACCCTGGTCAGCGCGTGCCACCCACCTGCTCAGATGCAGCAACAGTGTTTCACGACCGTTGCTGACGTATTTCAAACGTTGGTCATTGTTGTTGATTGAGCTTCAAAGTAAGGCCCCTGATCCCTCTCTCGATCTGCCAGGCGCTGCGGCACTGGAGCGCGCTGCAGCACGACTGGCAAACGCGCGCGCGAGCCGGACCGGCGGCGCCGCCAGCCGGGGCGGCTGCGGCCGCGGCGGAGGGCAGGCTGCAGGTTGAGGCAGCGGAGGAGGCGGCGTGGATGCTGCATCGGTTGGGGCAGCAGCATGTGCTTGACAGCTTGCTGCTGCCGGACGAGATAGAAGAGAAAACGCGAGAGATCGAGGTGCGCCGGTGTGTCGGCAGGCGGCAGCTGTGCCTGCCAGGCCGCCGGGTCGCAGCGGTTGAGTGGGCATGCAGTTGGGGGAGGGTTCTGGGTGGCAGGGAATGGCTCCCAAGCCAACGGCAAAGAGCGGCAACGGCGGCGGGATCACGGTGATGGCCAGTCTGTTGTTTGGCGCTGCTCCCGGGCACCTGTGATGGCGCTGACCCCGGGCGGCCCCTCGTGCGACACAGGGCGAGGTGTCTGCTGCCCAGGCGGCGCTGGATGAGATGGCGGCGCATATCAGAGAAGGCACCAGCGGCACTTCCTGGCCGGCAGACGGTGGGTCGGTCGTGCAGCCTGTATCATCTGGGTGGCACGAACCAAGCAGTGAGGTGTGCCTGCTGTCATGATTTTCACATTAAAGTGACAGCCGCAGACCCTCCACCACCCGCAAGGTGCCCCAAGCAGCAGCGGCGAGGATGGCGCGCAGCAGCTTGAGGCGTTGAGAAAGGTGGGGCACGCTGCGCCAGGCCTTTGGAGGCACCTCCAGGGTTGTGGGTGCCTCTTGTTAGCCCAATCGCTGACAACCCCCCTGGAGACACTCAAGTGTCCATGCGTTGAATCCTCTTCCTCTCGCCAACATGCCGTCAAGCACATCGCGCTCACTGTTGTGCGACACCACCAGCCCAACCCCCTGAGCCCTCCCCTGCAACCCTGCGAACCCAGGCCATCTTTGCTGACCTCAAATTCAAGCACGAGCCCTTGGAGTGGGTCTACGACGGCCTGGCCCCCCTCATGCTGCCCGATGTGCTGCGCCGCCGCAAGGGCATTCCCATCGCCCTCGCGCTCGCGGCGGCGGCGCTCGCGCGCCGGCTGGGGGCGGGGGCGCGGCTGGTGTGCGCGCGGGACGCGGAGGTGCTCACCACTGAGGCGGGTGAGCAGGCATGACAAGACGCCTGTGGTTTTGTGGTTTGTCGTGCACCACCACTTGCTGAGTCAGTTGCGCACGAGCGTGTACTGCACCCCTGCTTTGTACAACCTTCCGACCTCCCTCCTGTTTCTCGCAAAACCCCCAACCAGCCCAAGCCCCAAGCCGCCCTGATGGCCCGCGGCGGCCGCCTCCCTGGCCCCCACCCCACCCCATCCCACCC